CAGCGACTATACAAAAAGGAATTGTAACCGCAAGAAACACCCAGTTTATTACTCTAGGGTATTAGGCCCCAAACGAAAAAAAAAACACTGCCCACAGCAAGTTCATTTTCCAGGGTTGTATGCATTTGTTGTATACATACAGCGGGCTGAATGGCATCCGAGTACAGGGAGGAGTGCGACTATGCTACTGCTTTACATAGGTCTAGATCCCTCGAGGGAGCTCCCTGTCCGAAGAGGGCCAAGGCCGGAAACCTCGCTTAAAACACTCGATATGTTCGCTGCAAATATGGGGGCCCTTGTGAAGCAGCTGCCCGCGTTTCCAAAGCACGTATGGTGATGTGGAAGGTGCCGAAGTACGTCGGTGAAATATAATGTGGTAGGACTGGAGAGAATAGTGTTGCAGTATAATGTATTGTGAGCGTAGCTGAAGCTTTCATCGTGGGCGCGTCTCGTTGCAAGCTAAGCAACGCGTATACATGACGTGTAGCATCAGTCCTCAGTTCACTTCTTGTAACGAACATCAGCATAGGTCCAAGCCCTCTCGCTTGGAGGGATATATGCAAACAAACATCCTGATAGGTAAACTCGCACGCTACCGAGCATTCAACAGAGCACATGCATGCTTAGTTGAATGGTGAGATGCGACCCTCCTTCATTTCGTGCTCGGCAAGCCTGCCACCGCGTACCGGATATGTTGGCGATGTTACAGAGACGCTGCCCCTTGGTTTCTGTGCGCAATGCATACGATGCTCGACCCCGCCGACCAAAACTACACGTGCCCAACTGAAGACATTCCCGGTGGTTGTGCAGCAGCTCTTGAGGCTGTTGCTGGCTGAAATCCATCCTGAGCTGTTGCAACACGGCCAACGCGGGCACGTCCCTATGCACAGCAAGTAGCTGTTCCAAGCCAACAGCGGCGTCCATGTCACCGACAAGGCTCTAAACGTCTTATCTGTTCTTATGTTTAATTAAGTTTATGTATGTTATACTTTGCGCAACTTTGTAATTTGACTTTAGTCGGAACAAGGTGCTGTATGCGCTGCGCTGCAGAAAGCAGGCGCAGGGAACGAGCCGAAACTTGACCAGGTCTGCGGAAACTTTTCGTAATCGGGAGGCCCTTTGCGGAAAGGCTGCGGAAACTGCGGAAAGCTGCGAAAACTATAAAATGAATATGTAACGATGTTTTTTAGCTCTTCTCAGTGTGGCGATAACATGGACAGTCTGAAACCAGCTTGTGGCAGTGCGGTTCTGTCCGGTGGGATCTAGAATCTGGTGGATTCCAATCGTGCTCGAAGGTCGTTGCAGAGCAGTGACATGTCTGTATGCCTACTCCACATACCCGTCCGGCATGTCTGCATGCCTCACGGACAAGTCTATGCTGACTGTGCATTAATCCAGTAATCGTCCAAACAATATGAATTCAAAATAAATCATTGTGGGTATCTGGTGAAGCAGCTGGCCGCGTATTATTAGGTTTGGCAACGGAAGGATTGAAGGAACTGTATATATAGCTGATGGCTGCCGTATTGGACTGGGGTGAAGTGCGAATGCGTCCGTTTGGAAGGCGAAGGGCTACGGCTTGTTGAAAAGGAACAGAGGAAGACGAATGCGCGATGGAAGTACTTGGACCAAGAGATGTGGTGGAGTAGTGCTGTGCGCGTGAGACCGACAGGAAGCATGAGGTATCGGTGCCCAACGGAAAGAGGAAGTGCTGACCACGGAAAAGAACCTTGCTTTCGTGTGTATAGATCAGCCCGCCTATATGCATCAAGATGCGAGGCTGCGCCAGTGTGTTGATGACCTGTAATAAGTAATGTGGTTAAGCGGACAATGAGGACGAAGAGGAACCGGAACACGTTTTACAAGGTATAGCGGCAGCAGTGACAGCCTGCCTTTACGGACAAGAGGAACGACGTTGTGCAGACGGGACGGGGTGTGACCACCGGATATGTACAAGTAGCCGTGCAGAAGAAAGCTCTGCAGCAAAGCATGATATGCTTGCAGGGCAACCGGTTATATGGATCTGGAAGCCATATTCACGCAAGGCTGATATGTCAAGCAAACCAAAAGTAAAGGAGCTTGGCCAAGTGGCTATCAGGAGCTGAGGTGTGTAGGTATGTCTGATTGAAGGCTTGCACGGCAAGAGTACCGTCATTTCGATTGCGGTTCGTTCCTTAAGGACACATTCCGCGTTATCTGTGCTGTACGGAACTTGCTGCGATGGGGGGCATCTGCGCTGGGATTCATCGCCAGGCCTAACTCTGAACGCCAAAACGCATCTGTTTTGTTCCCTGCGTGATGTAACGCTCCGCTTCACGAGGTCACATGTGTTTTCATGGCTATTTGCTATCTGCTACCCAGGCAGGCAATTACCCATTTGTGCATGAGCGCGTTGCGAATCACACCTGGGACGGCGGCAACGTGCAGCAATCGTTGCGTGTCTCCGGTACACCGCACTGCTAACAAGGGCCTGCCTCGCCGGCCGAAGCTGCATGTACCCAGGTGTAATGACCTTTTATGGTTGTTCAGGAAACTCCGCGCCGTTACAGGACACGCACAAACGCCAGCACCGTGGTTGCCGGAATGGCGTTGTACGTTGCCCATGCCTGTATCCCGCTTGTGAGGTCCATACTTTCATGCCTGTTTTTTGTTGCCTTATCGCCATGTATCTCATCAAACGATGCAAGCGAAGTTCCTTATCTTTTCATTATTATATCTAAATTCCAGCAGCTCATCAGTTAAAGCAACCCTCTTTTTTTCCCCGACTGTCCCTATCTATTATTGTTTGTATTATTAAGCAGCTCTTTGTTTTATTGTTGAACTATTGTATTATTTTCTCCAAGCAGCGAGTATTAAAGCAGCTCAATGATTCTGTGCACTCCTGCATGCCAAATGACCTGCGGACGCGCCCGCTCGACTTCACACTGCTTCACGCTGTGGCGTTTCGCAGTAGCGGGGGCATCCCGCTGGCCGGTCCGCACAGCAGCCAAACCGGCGTCCGTTAAAGCCCGCCCGCGATTTTCCACACGCATACTGTTTATCCCACCAGCACTCCTGGCTCGCCAATGGGCTTCACATTTTGGGCATGATAATCAAGCCGCTTCAGCTCCCGATCGAATTTCGCCCGCCCGCGAATTTTACGCACATACGTGTCAAGCCCGCGTTCTCGGCTTTCGAGAGCTGACCTTTGCGCGGCCGGCCGTGGCCTTCGCATTTTGGAGATGTACGGAGTATTTATTCGGCAGTCGTACCTGCATATCGTTTGCTTGAGAGCTGCTTAAAAAAAATCAAAAGGAATAAAAAAGGCGAGAGGGCTAAAGTATCTAAAAATGGCACCGCACAACGATAACTGCAACGACGTGGCTCTGTTCAACTTCAACCACGTTTACGGACATTGTGGAATCAATTATCAAAAACCCTTCTTCTGAGCAGAAACACAGTCAATCTCTATGACTTCGGCAGCCCCCAGGTCGGAGCCAGTGGTTGTTGACATTTGACTTCATCTAATAACTCTATAGTGTAAAACGCAGCCTTTAAATGGCAAACGCATGCCTGAAATCTGTTTTTCAATTTCCGCCGTACAGCAAACGCGGAAATGCGGATTCCCTTTCCGCATTTCCGCCAATCTGGGCTTCACTGCGGAAAGCGTGACGAAACCTATTTACGCAGGTTTCCGTTTCCGCAGGTTTCCGTTTCGGCTCGTTCCCTGAGCAGGCGCCTTTTGGCTTGCACACAACTGCCTCTTCGCCAGACGCTTCCTCTTCCCGCGGCAGTTTCACGAGCCCAGTGTTGCAAGCTACGACGTAGGCTTTCGTTGCTTTCAGTTACTGCAAAGCAGCCACGCAATAGACTAGGCTGCATGCCGCGTGCGACTATGGCCATCGTGCCCACCTGCGCAACGCGCTGGCGCACCTCGTTTGCTTGCGCAAACTGCCCCTTCGCCAAACGCTTCCTCTTCCGGCAGCCGTTGCATGTGGCCATTCTTGCAAGCTACGTTGTATGCTTTCATCAGGGAACGAGCCGAAACGGAAACCTGCGGAAACGGAAACCTGCGTAAATAGGTTTCGTCACGCTTTCCGCAGCGAAGCCCAGATTGGCGGAAATGCGGAAAGAGAATCCGCATTTCCGCGTTTGCTGTACGGCGGAAATTGAAAAACAGATTCCAGGCATGCGTTTGCCATTTAAAGACTGCGTTTTACACTATGGAGTTATTAGATTAAGTCAAATGTCAACAACCACTGGCCCCGACCTGGGGGCTGCCGAAGTCATAGAGATTGACTTTGTTTCTGCTCAGAAGAAGGTTTTTTGATAATTGATTCCACAATGTCCGTAAACGTGGTTGAAGTTAAATAGAGCCACGTCGTTGCAGTTATCGTTGTGCGGTGCCATTTTTAGATACTTTAGCCCTCTCGCCTTTTTTATTCCTTTTGATTTTTTATTTTGAATTCATGTTGTTTGGACGATTACTGGATTAATTCCAGTTAGCATAGACTTGTCCGTGAGGCATGCAGACATGCCGGACGGGTAGGTGGAGTAGGCATGCAGACTAGAGGGTAGGACAAACTGTCGGGCAGAGCAATTCTTTTGACTGCCCCGGTCGCACAATTCCCGTGCTTCCCTAATTCGGCACCCTGAACACGCTAATTCTGACTGTCCGAATGTCCCTGCCAGGCCAATTCGACACCCTGTCAGCCTAATTCTGACTGTCGGAATGTCCCGCCAGGCTAATTCGTATCCCTGTCAGGCTAATTCTGACTGTCGGAATGTCCCTGCCAGGCCAATTCATATCCCTGTCAGGCCAATTCAAGGGCCTGTCCCGGCAATTCAACTTGTCCCAGGTGTCAATTTAAACCCTTCTACCGAGCAATCTAGACCAATTGCAGGGTCTGCCCCCAAACTCTCAGGCACACATTCAGAATCGTGGAAGTTGAAGGAACTTTACGAAACAAGGGGAGCACTTACAAATATCTCTCGTATGTTTGTTGGTTTCAAATCCGTACATGCTTGTACTTCCTGCCCCATATGGGACAGGAAGTGGCAGGAGCCCCACACGCCTTGTTACCGTACTCCGTACTCATTCACCCATACATTCATTGTGTGTGTATGTGTGAAAAGTTACCATCACCCGAACCGACCAGAACCAAAGGTGTGTCTGCATGGCAAGTCGCTCACAATTTTATCACCCGGTCTATTCATTCATTCATTCCTTCGTTCAGACAAGCAGACATATCCACACGCCTCGTCTTGAACTGTGCTTCAGTCCTGCTAAGGGCCCCCGGCACTCGACCAGACTACATGTGTTCAAAAAGATACCACCACCCGAACCGAACCAAACCAGGGGCATGTTAACCACACCTTTCATTCGTCCATTCATTCATACATCCAATCATTCACGCAGACAAAGAAATGTAAGCACACGCGCCTGCCCTGCAGTAGTGTGGCCCGGCACAATGTAGCTGTAGTAGCTGGTACACAGTAAGCACAGTAAGCTGGTACACGCATAGCACGACCACCAGCATCTCGAGAGGCCTTTTCAGCGGCCAGCTACTAAATAATGCATGAACGTCACATAGAGGAAGGTAGCATAATACGAGCCGTCAACGATAGGACCATCACCGCCAACCGGACTGCGTGAACCTGTCTCCAGTGCGTCACGCAGCACACTGACTGCCTTGACACTTCCAGTTGAGGGATCCATGTCAAGGTCGGCCAACCTGTCTGTCAGTGAATGGCGGTAAGTCAGCCACAAACCAGTCTGTACCTAATTCCAGGTTGGATAGAGCCTACTTGAGAGTGGCGCGCTGGTTCTGTTTGTCCTTGTAGTTGAGATCCTGGGACGAGATGTTGACATGGGGCATGCGCTTGCTCAGCGCGCGCAGTGCAGGGAAGCTGATGAGGTATGGCCCGATCATCATCATCTTCTGGGGGTTGATGAGCTGGCGCCTGCAGCATGTGTTACAGCGTCGACATTGCTGATCCTATTTGGTACCAGTCATTCGCCCGTGAACACATGGCCATGCTCCTGGCTTTTAATGTACCCCACAGCAGGCCCACGTACCTTAGGCGCCAGCCAATGTGCATTTGGTCAATAGTCAGCACCACGGGTTGGAGCACGGACACCCACGTCACTGCAAGGAGCAATGTAAAAAGCTACCTCCTCCGGCTGGCGTTGTTGTCCTTTGACGCTGAGACCCCGGATGATACCCCGCAGCAACTGTTGAATTGTGCCGTCAACGAGTCCTGAATGTCAATCGATGTCCGATGGTTAACAAGTCAAGGCATGTGTACGCGCACGCCAGCCTACACTACTCACGCATGCCGACACTGCATCATACCTCGTTGTTGTGATGTTTCGAGCAGTCGGACGAGTTCACTGCGTGATGCATCTGCCTGAGCATATGCCTGTAGCCTCACTCTATCAGCCTGGAAAAGGGATGTCCGCCGCTTAATCTCCCTGTCCAGCGCTATTCGATCTGCCCGCGGATGTGACCGCCTTGAGCTCAACATGTCCCACACGCTCAAGTCCCTCGGCAGAACGGAAGGGGACAATGACACGTGGGTCTGTCGCGACTCGCTGTGTCGCAGCGACTCGCTGTGTCGCAGCGACTCGCAGTGAAGCAGCGTCGGCTGAACGCTTCAATTGGTGATTTCTGTTGAGGGCCAGACACGCGGCACACGGCCATCCAGCTGCGGAGGAGAAACTGCAGACAACGGACCGGATGGAGTCGATTTCGCCGTAGTATGCTGGAAGCTGATTATCCCGGAAGAATGTATCCGCCTGTGGCGCCATGTCAGGATTCCCATGTGGGTTAACATTTGTCAGGCAGACCAACACGCTAGCCTTGCCTTTGCCCGACCCACATGCACTGACCTTATCAAACCGCCATGCCATCAACAACCCGGGGTACCAGGCTAGCGTGCGCCCTGCATCGCCGCCCGTGTCCATGATGGCGGCCTCAATGTCCCGCGGCCCCAACACACCCGCCTGGGAACAGCCGTATAGGCAGGCGTAACATTCGTCGCGCAGTCCAGGGCACGACATCCCACCGATAACACGGCGCCGACGCTCGGCTAGTTGTTGCAGGAAGGCGGGGCACGCTGGACGGGCGCCTGGCATGGGTAACGGACCGGGCAACGGCGCCGTGCTTCGAAGCCCGCGCTGCGACAACAGGTCTGAAAACATGGCCTGCATACCGGCATCCGTATCCA